CATGAGCAGTGCTTGTTGTGGCTGTGTGGTGTTATCAGTGTCCTTGTGGGATGTCTCAACCACATGACGACTCAGACCAGGTGTGTGTGTGCTATTCAGGCTGAGTGGATTGACACACTACTGAAGGATGATGGAGGGAGAAGTAGATTTTGTCCTTAAGCACTCTTGCACCAAGTTTGGGTGGAGGCCATCCGGTTTAAACAGTTGTCTATGGCCCCAAAAAAAGATTAAAGTTGTCAATGAAATTCACTCCTTTTAAATTGCAAGATCGTTGTAGCCATGTGTTCAGCCCAAGCAACCGTGAAAACATGTTAGTTCCCCTTGCTGGGAGTGGTCCACTGATGAACGACTGAACTTCAAGTGATTGAAGCGTTTCAAAGAGTTCAACGAAATCCTTTTTAAGGAGTTCTGACTGCTCTTTCCGTATATCATTCTTCCCCAGATGGATGATGATTCGATTAGCAGTCTTGTGCTTCATTAGAATTTTCCGAAGTTCCTTGTTCACATCAGAGACGGTTGCTTGAGGAAAGCAGCATGTAATTGTAGTCCTGCTACTAATGTTTCTGATAATAGAGTCACCCACTATCAGAGTCCTGAGTTCGGCTGCGCTTTGAGCTGAATGCCGCTGTCTGCTCGACCTTGAGCGCCTGTTAGTAGCGATGTTAGCTGCTGGCTGATCCGATCCATGTTTAACCACATTTGGGGATTCCTCACCCACATTCATTAAAACATCAAATCTGTTTTCAAGATGTATAGGAGGTGGTAGAATACCAGTTTTTGCAAGCCTTGTCATAGCCATATCTGGGGTAGAGGATGCTACCGCAGCAATATAAGATACTTGTGACAATCTGATGTCTCTGTCAGGGTTCGGGTAGAGGATGGAGCGAGGACTCAGTACTGCAGAGAATGGGCTTTTATTGATAATAAAAATAAACAAAACAGCAACAAAAACTACCCCGTGGGGGAAAAACAGGCTGGCAAGGCAAGGCAGGATCTGGACACGACACGACACATCCAGGAAGAGATGAAGACGAACTGACCCAGGACTGCAAACACAAGGAGAATAAATGGAGAGCAAATGAGGAGGGTAACGAGGGACCACATGTGGGGCTAATTAACTAATAATCAGGTAACAAGATGGGAGGGGGCAAGACAATTGCACATGGCACACCGAATCAAAGACAAAAAGCCATGGGCTCACACAAAACAAATCACAAGCCATGTGCTAGAACAAAAGACACGAACACGCAGCTAATGAGAAAACTCATAAGCCGCGTGTTCATACAAGACAACAAGAAAAGCACGCGGCTGACCACAAACCACGTGCCCAACATAACACAACACACGTGGACAGAAGAGCGCACGGCCGAGCGAACTCGAGACCGCACGCTCCCACAACAGACAGAACATGGAGCGCAAGTGTCCGGACCCCGACACGAAACCGAAACTCAAGACATGAGTGCCGGGATCTGAACACCACGCTCCAACATGAAACAGTACACGCAGACGAGAGCGCACGGCTCGAGCACACTTGAAGCCGCACGCTCACATGAAAACAATGACATGACGCGAGTGTCAGGGCTCTGTCACAAAACTATGAATTACACTAGACCGAAGTGACAGAACCCTGACAGTCTCGGTTTGTGCCATCGATTAGTGTGTCAATCAATTTCGGCTTGTTCCTCAACACTTGGTATAAACTGTTGAGATTCACTAGATTCATGGGACTCATTGGCTGTATGCTGAGGGGGTCCGTGATGTATGCTGTGTGTTCTACCTGTTTTGGAAGTCCAGCAAGTAACTTTGTTTCAAGAACCGCAATTCTTTGTAGAAGTTTGCGGCAGTTTATGCAACAAGTAGATTCAGCAAGAGACATTTTCTCTCTCGTCTGTTTGAATGTAGACAGCTGTGCTTTCCCTTCTCTGGAATGTAAGCTGGTGGCAGTGGGAGGCAAAAGTTCCCTTTTTTTGTATTATTCCAGTCCCGAAGTGTTTTTAGTTTTAGTGTCTGTGCCAAAAATGTGTTGTTTGAGCATTGTGCTGATCTGCTAAAGTAAAAATCTTAGAAAAATCTGAGAAAAGTACAGAAATAGGGAGCAAAGCGCAGAGCAGTAAGCAAGGACATCCAAAAGGTAGCGAAGCCGGAGCAGAGACCTCTAAGAGAGGCCGCTAAGAAAATCTTAGCGTGTGACTAATTTACTAATTCCACATCCGATCTTACGGAGTTAAACTTAAGCAGGACTGTCAAAGTTTACATATTAAATAAAGATTTAAATATGTTATTGCTAAATTATCTTCTTCATGAACTGTAAATGAAGATGGGACATTTAACAAAAATCATCTGCAATCATCAACAAGTATAAAATATTACAGATGAGCAAAGCACACCATAATTTGTGTAAACACTGGAGATCAACAGTTAAAAACATGTTACACACTGTGGGATCATTTTTATATGAATATTATCAAAGGAATAAAATTAACAGATTCTGTATTAATCTGTTTATTTTATTCCTTTGATACGGTTTTCTTGAAGAGTGTTGTGTTGAATTATTTATTTTAATTTTTTAATGGCATGTCAGCAGTGTCACCATCAATAACTGTCGTACAGTTAACAAAAAACTATATAAAACATTTGTTTCTAAATTACACCAGCAGTCAAAAGTTTAGAACACAATTTTTTTTATGTTTTTGCTCACCAAGCCTGCATTTATTTGATGGAAAATACAAGAAAAACAGTATTATTGTGAAGAAATATTAAAATTTAAGATAGCTGCTTTCTATGTTGTGCTATAGCTGCTAGCTGCTTTCTATGTTCTATGTTGCTTTCTATGTCTTTCTACGATACGACCAAGATGGCACCGATGATGATGGCTGCCTCCGTGGCGTGCTCTGCAGTTGTATTTATGTTTTTGTTAGTTTGTCCTGTCTTTAGTTATATCCCTGCAATCAGTTTCACCAGAGACGAATTGCTGGACATTCGGCACTACACATCACCCAGTATTTCACCGGTTTTCGACTATTCTGATGTTTTGCTGGACATAGTAGTTGGTGGAGCTGCAGCGCTGATCAAGAACTTCAAGACGTGCAGATGGAGGAAGCGAGCCGGCGCGCTCGTGAAGCTCAGGCAGAGCGGATTCAGAACACTGTTGCCTAGCATCCATCTGGCGAACCTCCGCTCTTTACCCAACAAAACGGACGAACTCCTTCTGCTCTCCCGGATAAACAAAGATTTCTCACACTCTGCTGCTCTGTGTTTCACGGAAACCTGGCTGAAAGACGCCATTCCGGACAGCGCGTTGAGTCTGCCGGGCTTTCAGCTGTTTAGAGCAGATCGCGACGCAGAATCAACGGGGAAATCGCACGGCGGCAGGACATGTTTTTACATGAATGAGAGGTGATGAACAAATGTAACTGGCATAAAGAAGATGGTCTGTTCAGATCTAGAAGTGCTCTTCATTAACTGTAAGCCTTTCTACTCGCCGCAGGAGTTTTGCTCGTTCATTCTTGTCAGTGTCTACATTCCTCCGCAAGCGCACGTGAGCTCCGCTTTACAGAAACTCGCTGATCAGATCACAGAGACAGAACAACAACACCCAGACTCGGTTTTAATAATTCTCGGGGACTTTAATAAAGCCGAAGGACTGTAAAAAGATGGACTAATGAAGCAGAGCAGGATTTACAAGCTTGTTTTGACCTCACTGATTGGAGTGCTTTTGAAGCTGCTGCCACCGATCTGGACGAGCTCACAGAGACTGTAACATCTTATATCAGTTTCTGTGAAGACATGTGCATTCCTACCAGGACTCATCTAACATACAACAATGACAAACCATGGTTCACTGCAAAACTTATACAGCTCCGTCAGGCCAAAGAAGATGCTTACAGGAAGGGGAACAATGTCTTGTATAAACAGGCTAAATACACACTGGAAAAGGAGATCAGAGTGTGTGAGGAGAGTTTGTTTCCAGAAGCTTTACTTTCACTGTTCCTCAGCGGAGGAATGATCTTCACAAGCCTCCAGAACATCTCACATCTTCTGAGGAGCCTTTATTTCTTCAGCTCTCAATCACTGCATTATATGTTTGGAGCATTTCACTCTCATTTTACTGAGACAGATTGCTGGAGATATAGAGCGACGACTGATATTTATAGCATTTAACGTCAGCATCTGCTGTACTGTTATAAAGATCTCATTGATTTACAGCACAAACATCAGAATTTCATCATATAAATATCAGCATCTGCAGCAAATTTATATTCCTTTGAATGAAACTGAGCTGTTTTTCCTCCATATTCTCACTCTATCAGACTATATGAGCCAAAAAAGTCTGATGCATCAAATATGATGCTCAACAAAACGTGTGATGTGATGGATGTGTGTCGGTCTTACTGATGACGGTGGGCAGACTGAGGCCGGTGCCAGAGTCGGTGTCTAGTGTGCATTGCTCACTCAGCAGACTGTGCAGCTCCCTACAGAGGAACAAGAGCACTGGGAACACAAGCGTCATGATCCTACAGACTCTTTTCATGCAATACTCCACACAGACTTACCTATGAATGGCTTTTCCTCCCATCGGCAGAGCTTCCCACACAGACAGGATTGGAACGCCTTCATAGATCTAGTGCACTGTTAAAGCCATCTATAACCACTTCAAACCACAGATAATATTGTGTGTAAACACAACAAGTGCAGACAAACATGCTTTTCAATCACTCAGACGAGGAATATGAATTAAAGGAATCGTTCACCCAAAAATTAAAATGCGCTCACCCTCAGGCCATACGAGATTAGGATGAGTTTGTTTCTTCATCAGATTTGGAGAAATTGCATCAGTGTCTCACTGCAAGTGAATGGGTGCCGTCAGAACGAGAGTTCAAACAGCTGATAAAAACATCACAAGTAATCCACAGCACTCCAGTCCATCAGTCCAAGGCTATTTTCGTAAACGAAAACTAAAACTAAGACTAAAACGACTGATGAAAAAACTATTTTGTAAACTGAAATGAAATAAAAACGTCAAAATAATAGAAAAACTCAAACGAAACTAAACTAAGAACAGCAATAAAATTATAATTATCAAAAATAAATAATCATTTTCATAATCATTATGTTCTCACCCCTTGGCGGAAAAATATATGAGCTGTGTGGAGGTTTAGGGAAATAGCTACCTGTAACGCAAAGCAGTTTAAAGCCTGCACGGGTCCTGTTTGGTAAACGTGCACCAGCAGTGCTTAACAGAACACCCGACCCATTATCTGACAGCAGCACTCGCATTAAATCTATTACATCAGGTAAGCAAGATTATTTATTTTCTCATGTATCACAAGCAATCAAACCAAAAACAGACATGCAGCGCAACATGATAATTAACAGAAACAAAGATGAGAACGCGCATCCTTTCTGTAAACAACACAACACTTTAGCCTAGCATCTTCTGATCACTCTGCCAGGCTTTTGAACAAATGTGCACTGGCTAAATCACATCATGCACACGCTTATAATTCTTCATAAATGAAAAGAACATTAAAATAAGCCGTTACTGTTAAATGCGATTGCCGTTATTGAATTTAATTAGTTTTGATTGAAGCACGGCTGTTAACGGAAAAGTGAGCAAGCCACCACAGTTACAATATCATGATTATGGTTAAATAATAAAAGACATATAACCAAATCAGGCTACGTTTATTTTCATACTAATTATCTCAACACACATCATTGGATATGACATTAAAATAAAACAAATTTAAAAATTCTAAACTATAATAACCTTGCATCAGTTAACATCTGGAGAAGACAAAAGCTGAAGCAAATACAGCATTAAGACGTTTTTAACGAGTCCATAATCCATAATAACTCTTCCTCCAGTGAGTCAGTGTTCTGGTGTGAATCAGGAGAGAAATCTGCACAGATCAAGCAGCGTTTAAACAGCTGTAAACTAATATGTGGCTGGATTTTGATGTGAGAGACAACAGCAGATGTACTTTTTCACTGGAGGAAGAGTTATTATGGATTATGGACTCTATGTGTTTTAGTTAAAATGCTGGATGTGTTTCAGTTTGTGTCTTCTCCAGATGTTAACTGATGGACTGGAGTGCTGTGGATTATTGTGATGTTTTTATCAGCTGTTTGGACTCTCATTCTGACGGCACCCATTCACTTGCAGTGAGACACTGATGCAATTTCTCCAAACCTGATGAAGAAACAAACTCATCCTGATCTCGGATGACCAGAGGGTGAGCACATTTTCTGTTTGGGTGAACTATTAAATAGTTTAAGAGCTTATTTGCAGTTAAAGGATTCTGGTAGCACCAGCGTCTCTGTATATCCACAGTCCATGACGAGAGCAGACTGGATGCCCAGAGTCATGACGGACATCAGATGACTCGGAGCAAACAGGACCGATGGGACCTGCAACAGACAGCACTTTTAACACTGCACGCAAGAGATTTATAAGTGTCTTTCAGCAGACAGGACTGCTTTACATTATGCACACATGAGCATTTATTTAAATGCCTTCTATTAGTTCATTAGGCCTCTTTCATCTTCTTTATTATTTGCTGTGAAACTGCTTTGGATGGAGTATGATCATATAATAAACCGCTGAGCTATGAGGACACAGCATGACTTCACCTCAAAGTGCTTGAAGAAGACTCTGGAGAGCGTCTCTCTGAAGTGTGAAGGACAGAGGACGGATTCAACGATCACCACGCGCCGGTCTCGAGGATTCACCAGCAGATGCCTGAAGGAGGAACAGCATCATGAGTTCAGCTGCGATGAGCAAACACAAACCGCTCTGAAACGCAGCATAGAAGCGTCTCTGCTACCGGAAGTACAGCAGGTGAACGAACTCCTTCAGGATGCTGTAGAGCTCCTCAGTGTTGATGTTGTACTGGACGACTCGAACCGCCTGTGAGAGCGAGAGACACTCATTTAATAACAATTCTCTAATTACATTCAGGTCTGAATTATTAAATCAACCACTGGTCTGCACACATGATCATTAGGGTTAATAGTGATAATATTATACTGCTGTTTAAACCATTTGTAAAAGAAAGACGTCAGTTAAATATGATCATGTTAATTGATTATTGTGATTAGAAATAGAGATAATTCCCGTAAGAGCACGAGACCGCTCTCAGACCGACCTCCGGAGATCCGGCGCGTTTAACTTCACTGGGAATGATGAATCTCGGCCCCGTCTCGCCGGCAAAACCACATCTACACAACAGAGCAAACCAGACCACCATCCATCAGCACGAGCGGCACAGGAGAAATATCGGTGCTTCACATTATATGATAGATAAATATATATTAAATATATAATTTATATATTAAGATATATTAAAAAAAAAAAAAAAAAAAAAGTTTAGATTCATCACATGACACTTCAGTTCATATATCTGAGCACTTAATCCTGTAATATAACAATAATACTTTTACTTTTTATTTATTAGTAAAACAAATCCTTTTAAGGACCATTAAGATTTATTTTATTTATAATAATTAATTATAATAGGCATACATCAGCATAAAAACTTTTTAGGGACATTTATATATATATATATATTTATTTTTTTATTTCGGCATACATCAGCATAAAGGCTTTTCAGGACCATAAAGATTATTATATAAGCATATACACTACCGGTCAAAAGTTTGTGATCAGAGCGATTTTCTTTTTATTTATTAGTAAAACAAATCCTTTTAAGGACCATTAAGATGTATTTTATTTATAATAATTAATTATAATAGGCATACATCAGCATAAAAACTTTTTAGGGACATTTATATATATATATATATATTTTTTTTATTTCGGCATACATCAGCATAAAAGGCTTTTCAGGACCATAAAGATTATTATATAAGCCTATACACTACCGGTCAAAAGTTTGTGATCAGAGCGATTTTTAATGTTTTTACAGAAGTCTCTTCTGCTCATCAGGGCTGCATTTATTTGATCAAAAATACAGGAAAAAGTGTAATATTGTGAAATATTATTATGATGTAAAATAACATTTTTCTATTTTAATATACATTCAAATCTAATGTATTTCTGTGATGTGCAGCTGTATTTTCAGCTTTTCAGGATTCTTTGATGAATAAAAGTTAAAAAGAAGAGCATTTATTCAAAATATAAATCTTTTCTAACAATATACACTAGCGTGTAAAAGTTTGGGGTCGGTACATTTTTATTCGTTCTTTTTTTGAAAGAAATGAAAACTTTTATTCAGCGAGGACGTGTTAAACTGTTAAGAAGTGACAGCAAATATTTATATTGTGAGAAAAGATTTATATTTTGAATAAATGCTCTTCTTTTTAACTTTTTATTCATCAAAGAATCCTGAAAAAAGTATCAGTTTCCCAAAACAATATTGTGCAGCACAACTGATAATAAGCAGCATATTATACTGAGATAATAAAGCAGCATATTATACTGATTTCTGAAGATCATGTGACACTGAAGACTGGAGGAATGATGCTGAAAATACAGCTGCGCATCACAGAAATACATTATATTTTAATGTATATTAAAATAGAAACCATTATTTTATATCGTAATAACATTTTACAATATTACTGTTTTTTCTGTATTTTTGATCAAATAAACGCAGCCGTGATGAGCAGAAGATTCTTCTTTAAACACATTACAGTCTCACTGATCCCACACTTATGACCAGCACTGTGTATATATACATATAATAATTCGAAACCAAAACTAGGTTAAGTCAAATACATTTTTAAGAGTGTTATCATAAAAAAATATATAAATATGTTTAAAAATAGCATTAGTCAATAATGATAATAACTACAATAATAATAATCTGATATATATATTTTTATAATATGCATAATTCAGCATAAACCTTTTTAAGGATATTTAGATGTGTGTATATATATATATATATAATATTTCAGCATAAATTGTGGCGTAAAATATGACTTTGTTGTCAAAACACAACATTTTATGGTATTTACGAATAGTTTTACAAATACTCGCCGAGTACTAAATTACTACCATGGCATCAGCAGGATAAATGTTCAAATAGCACGGCATTTACTAAAAAACATGAGACTTTAGCTAGTGCCATTGATTTAAAGATGAACTGAAGAATGAGGACATCTCTCAGTCTGTGTACCGCACTCACTTCGTGTAGGCCGCTCCGAGATCTACGACCACGGCTGTCTTCTCCCCGCCACCGACCAAGCCTTCGAACAACGGCATGCTGATCGATAGAAATGAGTAGAAGTGTCAGAAAACAGAATTATTAGAATGTAAACACAGCGCTGGCGGAAGGGCGGCCGGGGTCCTTCGCAATGGCTGCCCCGCGTTTGCCTGACTAATAATCATTTCGGCAACCGTTAATAATACTCAGTTAATGCAACACACACACACTTTCCACACTAGCGCTAGGTGTACTGATCCGAGGTCAGTTCCTCACATGAACCAGGAATTCATTTTCATTATTTCTTATTTTCATGTTTTATTGTTTTACTTCACACGTAGCCTACTTCAAAATATAGCCCAATAATAATAAAAACAATTAATAATCATTTGAAACCAAAGTTTGGGCTTGAGTCAAATCACTTTTAAAGTACTTCATAATGTTAAAATGATAATAATAATAATTATTACAATTATCATTATTAATTACAATTAATAATAATCATTTGAAACCAAAATGTGGTTTTAAGTCAAATATTTTTTTAAGAGTATTATCATTAAAAATATTTAAATATATATATATATATAAACATTAGTCAAAAATAATAATATTAATAATAACTACAACAACAACAACAACAACAATAATAATAATAATAATAACTACTACTACAATAATAATAATTATTATTATTTGAAACCAAAGTTTGGTTATAAGTGCAAACATAATTTTTAAATGCGTTTTGTCATTAAAAAGTAATTTAGAACAGCTTAAAAAAATCAATAAATAAGAGTAATCATAATTAATATCTATTATTATAATGAATATGAGTCAGAATAGTAATGAGTGCAGCTGTGACGCGCGGCTCGATCTGACGCAGACGGAGACTCTGGGACTCTGAGAGCGACTGCTGATGAAGCCGCTGAACACCGGAGCGCTGCGCTGGACACGAGACACACAGCAGGTGAGCTCGAGCCTCGTTCCTGTCCTTCTCATAACGCAGCCACGCTCAGCACTCGGGGGACCTGCCCTGCAGCACAGACGCAGAGACACCAGGAGTTACGCAGCACATTCACTGATGACAGTCCAGCAGTTACGCGTGAGAAAATCACACGCCTGCAAGAATGTTTGTGTGAAAGGATGCAAGCAGAGCAATAATGATGAATCGATGAATCGACATGATAGAGTAGGGCGCTTTGTCTCTGAGACGAGCTCTGTGCTATTTTTAGACACTGCTGTAGTGTGTGTGTGTGTGTGAGAGAGAGAGTGTGTGTGTGAGAGAGAGAGAGTGTGTGTGTGTGCGCGTGTGTGTGTGCGTGTGTGCGTGCGTGCGTGTGTGTCAAGTTACTGCTGCAGAACTGAAAGAGCAAGAAAATGACAGAATGGATGGATAAACTAGCAGCACTTAACATTAAAATATACATCATCATTAATACAAAGTCACCAAATCTAATATTGTTGTCAAGTCTGATTGTGGCATTGGTGGGGAATAACACACAGACATTTAATTGTTTGATCAAAATTATTTCTAGGAACAATTTATCAGTGCTGAATATACATCTCATATCGATAAACTCTACAGCCTTGAAAATCATAAGCCATGTCTGACTTTTTTCTCCTTAAATATGAAGAGGTCACACAACAGATTCATGAGTTCATCCAAATTTCACAAAAATCTGGCTCTAAATCTCTTTTCTCTATTCAGAGTTGATCTGAACAAGTACATGGGAACTATCTGAATTCAGTTCATCCTGAAGCAGTGGAACCTGCATCTCTACATTCATTCTGTGTGTAAATGTATTCCTTTTTGAACTGAATGATCAAAGTCCCGAGTTTGAATCAATCGGAGCGGTTTCAGAGTAAATGACTCACTCAGTTGAATCAGTTCGTCTGTTTCTCTTTTCTCGTCTTCAGTCATGTTTACACGACACTGTCAGCTCTACTACTGACTAAACTCTAGTTTTATGCCATTAACTGAAATAAGATTAAAAAAAAGTGTGATGTTTACAAATAAATATTCTAAAGATAACATCCAACACAAATCTAGAACATATTCAGATGAATTAATACTCAATTAATGTGACGAGCTGCAGCTCAAAATACATGTTAGATGGAAACATTGAGTTTGTAGCTTAAGTGACTATATCTGAAATAGTTTGCACTGCAGTTCAGTTGCTGACAGTTCAATAGAAATCAGCTGCAAGCATCCAGTGAATCTTCAGTTTATCAGAATATCTGAGGAATTGTTGTTGTATGTGATTGTATGAGTCTCTACAGAGCGATAGTCGATGTAAAAAGAGCAGATGAACACAAAACAGCAGAACAACATCAAGTTAAAGAGGATGAACTTTATCATTCAGCTGTTTGAATCACTTCTGCTCTTATATGTTCTTCTCAGATAATATCAATGCTGTGACCTTTAGCAGATGCGCCGACATTACAACAACAGTGCTTACATACACATATATTTAATTGTTTCATCAAAATTATAGCTAGGGACAATTTAGTAGCCTCTGGATATTGCTAGGAACGTGTCAAAGTGTCTCTACTAAACTCTACAGCCTTGATTGTTGTTGTTGTTTTACAGCCAGTACTGTTCATTTTAATTGTGCAATAAAATATACAGCACCAGTGTTTTCTCCTTAAACACATCTCAATTAAGCATGAACAGCTGTTGTAAAAAGTTGAATTCTTTATGCAAACGCATTCAATTATCATTCAATCTTTTAGTGCAGATTTCAGGGCCCTTCAATATGCAATGATATCTAATGAACTAAAAACATTGTTAATATGTGTTAATCAAGGGTGTAGACGCTGTGACGTGTTCCTACCAATATCCAGCAACTACTAAATTGTCCCTAGCAATAATTTTGATGTCTGTTGTCGGCCGTTATTCCCCACCAATGCCACAATCAAACTTACACCCTTGGTGTTAAAGTTGTCTAAGAACGTCTAAAAGCAATGCATGCACCTCATGTTCATAATATGAAAATATAAACTATCTTTAATTTATATAAAGAGCGTAATCTTGAGTTCACACCACAGCGCATGGGGTTTTATCTTCTACAGGAAGTGTGCTTTGGTGTTTCGGTCACGTTTAACTTCGGCTGGACTTCATGCCGAGTGACGGATCTACAATGTTCACTGGTGCAACTTTCCAAAGTGTTCTGTTGGTGGCGATCTGTCTCGTAAGCTGGGCCGCCCCACATGGCCTCGAACGCCCAGGAGACCTTCGTGGAGAAGATAAAGAGTCGGCATCAGCTGACAGATCACTGGATTCAGGCTCCTCCAGTCTGACGGTCCCCAACACATCCCTGAGCATCACCGGTGGAGAACCCAACACCACACCAGCATCTGCACCGGATGGAAACGAGGACAGACGGTCCAGGATGGATGAGCGGCAGAACACCACGCCTCCGTCCTCTGGAGATTCTCATGTCTCTCCGTCTCTGACGACGCCTCCTGCTGGAGATCTGGAGAGAAGTGACACGCTTCACTGGAACTCATCTGCGGAGGACAGAGGACCGACTCCTTCAGCTCTTCAGTCAGATGCGTTCAGCCTCTCGCCGCTCACCGGCGGAGACTCGGCGGCTGGATTAGCAGCTGAATCCGGACTGAGCTTCAGCTCCAGACTGCTGGACTCGCCGGATACCTGGACCGAAGCGGATCGTCTGCAGGCAGGTGAGGGAACGATGCACTAATGACCATTGTTTCGCTCAGAGTTCACTCATTCATGCTCTCAGTTATCTGTCATTGAAGTATTTCAGACCCAAAAGATCTACAAGCTCTACAATGAATGTGGAGCAGCTCAGTTCATATTGAGATCTCTGACATTTGATGTTTTTATTTTACAATAAAAAGCATACAAATGTATTTTTGCTACTTGATATAAAATAAACAATTACTGAAATAAAAAAAAAATATATATATAAAATTTTTTTAAGTTATTTAATGGCAACATTTCTCATTTTCATCTAGTTAATAACTAAAAACTGAAATTAGACATATTTTAGAAAACTGACAAAAATGCACAACAAAATTACTAAAACTTTTAAAATTAATACAGAAGAATGTACAAATAAAATCTAATGCAAAACTGTTATTTTAGTATGGAGATAATATTAGTTTTAATTTTGAATTAGGCTAGTTTATATTTTTGCATTTTCTATTTTAATTTTAGTTTATATTCAGTCATTTAGATTTTATAATTTGTCTATACAGTTTTTTATGAATTTTTGTTTGAGTTTTAAATTAGTACATCGTTAAACTAAATGAAAATGAGAAATGTTTCTTTGGCAACTAGCTGAAATAAAATCATTTTTAATTGTTTTTAACAAAAACGTTCTTTTACGGTTTTAGTTTTAGTTAACTATGATAACCTGCATGGTTCAAAATATTAACACAAATTATGAGAGTATCAATCATGCTAAATTACCACAGAAGCAGCTTCACAGCTTCACAGTAATAAACAGGAAAATAACAGTGTTAATGTTCCAAAATGCAGCTGTAAAGCAGCTCTGCAGAAAACAATAGAGTCACTATTCAGATCAGTTCAGTTCAATAACTGTGTCCGTGTTGTAAAGTTTCTGAATCACACTGAATGATGTCTGAGAGCGTCCTGCTCCACTTTGAACCCTCAGCGGACGCCGCCGGCAGCCTAATTACTTTCTATTTTGAGAGCTGCTGGAAGAAAGTGGAACTGACTGCTAAAAGAGGCGACACACATTATTCATGCTAACACTCCTGACGGCTTTGATGTTCTTGGTTCACGATGTCTGACATTAAATCAACATGAAATCCAGTATGTGTCAAATATCAGTTCAGTCATTGTTTCAGGCTGCTGTTGAAACTGATGCAGCATTTATAAAACATTAATGCATCAATAATGCGTCATGGAAATTACAGAAAATGCAGTGGGAATGCAATGATGCATCAAATGAAGCTTAACTAGATCGTTTATTTCACTTCACAAAATGAGCAGCAACCATTTTTGACTGAACTGTATATTATAGTTCTTGTATATCGGTTCCTTTTCCTGATGCACTTCATTTTCCTTCCTTCTATAACAGCTAGTTGCCAAATAAAAACTAAAACTTAATAAACTTAATATAGACACATTTAAAAGTTTAAAAACAAACAAACAGAGGAATAAAATAAACTTTAACTGAAATCAAATCAAATCAAATATTTATAAAAATATATATATATATTAGTTTATTTCAGGTAGTTGCCAAAAAAGTTATGCTAAAATAACTGAAATAAAATGAATAAAAACTATATAGACATATTAAAAAAAACTAATAAAAATGAGAAAAACACACAAAAATATTACTAAAACCTTACCTGTTAATGGGAATAAAATAAAATAAAATATTTTTAAAATGTATTTTATTTCAGTTACAGTTTATTCAGAAACAGCATTTCTCATTTTAATTTAGTTTAACTTGATGCACTAAAATAACCAAAACTTAAATAAAAATTAATAAAAACTTATACAGACATATTAAATATATAAAGGAAATATAAAAATGACATTAAATTCTAAATATTAATAAAAGCTATATTTTTATTTTTACATCTTGAGCAAATCTGAGCCCAGTTTGAGATTTCCTATGAATTTTCTGAGACACATGTGAGATTACTGCGGCTTTCTGAGAATATGAGAAGTGATTCGGATATTTTGACTGGACTGCTTGTAAATCAGTTCCTTTTGCTGTCCTGTACTTCCTTCTCCAGAGGAAGTGAGCGTCTTTCCCTCCTCTCAGGACGTCAGCACAGAGGTCACCATGTCCTCCGAAGACCTTCCTCTGATTTTTGAGCCGTTTGAAGACGTCACGGCGCCCGGAGCATCATCCGGACCGTCTGTCGCCATGACGCCAGCGGCCGTAACCATAGGAGACCCAGAGCTGGAGCGGATGGTGTCCATGGTTACGGATCACATTTCCTCTGACGGCCGTCTCTCAGGAATGCTGGAGACGTCTGGAGTGACAGAGCCAATCACAGAACCCCATCCGGAAGCAGAGCATTATGGGACGACACAACGTGAGAATATATAACAGAGCGCAGCAGTGATGGCATATTTCTGGAGCATCACTCTGAGTCCCTCGACTAAAACCCAATAGAATTTTTCTATTGGCTTTTGGATTATTGCAGAAAATAAGCTCTGTGACCAATAAGAGTTTGAGTCATCCTAATAGTCTTCACAGAATTAAAGGAATAGTTCATCTGAAAAATACAATCTGCTGAAAATGTGCTCACTCTCAGGTCATCCGAGATTAGGATGAGTTTGTTTCTTCATCAGGTTTGGAGAAATTGCATCAGTGTCTCAGCAATGGATGCTCTGCAGTGAATGGGCGCCGTCAGAATGAGAGTCCAAACAGCTGATAAAAACATCACAA